CAAACAGTGAAGAGGGACCCATGCAATGAAGTGTCACAGATCCCAGAGTTTCTGGAATGGATGAGAAATCTCTGGAAGGCGGTGAAATATGAGAACTTCATCTTTAGTTTCAGAAACACTCTTGTGGCTCATGCCTATGACAACCTGTGCAAAGAGTTCAACCAATGGGAATGGGAGTTCAGAAGAGAGATTCTCACCTGGCAAACACAAGCAGAGGTAGAAATCTTGAACGCTGACAATGAATCTGAGGGAGAAACTTGGAACAGATTAGTTGGACGAAAGAAATCTGAGGTGTCACAGAAAATAAAAGACCAAGAGACAATAATGAGGAAAAAAATTCACGACTACTACAAAATGACAGGCAAACGAGTTAATCTGATAGAGAAATACAAAGTGGAATTTTTGAACAGTGTCAAAGCCCTTGCAGATGAAATCAAACATTCTGTGTGGGCAAAACTGGACTGTGTCCTTGAACGAAACATAATTTCAAAAAAGGCTCAGGACATTCAGAGARAATACAGAGGTGTGATTGAACAGAAGGTCATGAAGCTTCTGGGTGACTGCAAAGAGTCAACTCCACTGACTGAGGAAGAACTGACACAAGAGTTTGAAAAGATGTGGGCTGAAGCCACTGTAAACGTGTCCGGCCCGAAAGAGCAAGATATTGCAGCATGCGTCCTGARGCAGTTGAGAAAAAACCTCTTTAATCGAAATGTCAATGAGGAGTTGCAGAACATAAGAGACCTAAAGGAAATTGGGACAGGTCCATTTGAAACTAAACATGAGCATATTATATATTCCGCTATTATGCAGAAGTTCCCACCTCTGTTTGGAGGACTTTTGCAGAGCTTTGCGGACAGTATCATTGACTCTTGTACAAGGTTTGTACTTGATAAAGTAAAGACAAATGSAGATTACGAGGACTCTTTCACAAAAGATCTWYTAGAAAAAATTGATAAATCCCTTAAACAAGGTTTCATCCATCACAAAACAAACATACATTTTGAGATTGACTTGAAACTTCACATTTGTGGCATTGCTTCAAGGGAATTTGTCAAAATGCACAGAAGATTCTTGTCGGATAATAATCCTCACWCTCAGCTGGAAAAGTACAAGACTCAGTACCAGTCAGATTTTCTCGATTTATACAAAAACCAAGATCACTGCCAACGCAAAGCAAATCATTTTGTCCAGTCGTGTATCAAACCTGCTGTGGAACAGTTCATCTGTAGATCTCTGGGCGTTGACATTGTGGATGACGTTTTGACAAGTTCCCATTCAGCAGAGTATAGTTCTCGCACAATCTTCCAGTACAACATTCAGAAAGAGTTGCTGCTAAATGAAGACTTCAAGAGTTTTTTCAGCTACACTGCTAACTATGAAATATATGTTAAAGATTGGATATTTCAACACATCCTGCAAAAGATGTCAGCGGACAAGACTTTGTGCAAACTGAAGAACAATAATCTACAAGTCATTGACAAAAAAATATCAGAAGCGATAGACCGGGCAGCAAAAGAAGAAGATGGAGGTCTGCTGCCAGACAACAAGGAAAGCATCACRAAGCTAATCAGCAACATGCGCAAATATTTGATCAAAGACATCTTAGTTTCAGTGGAGGCTGAAAAAGCCRCCTTGTTTCAAATCCAAAGCTCATGTCATTCATTCATCAGCTGCCTCAAGATCTCAATGAAGGACTTGAAGGATCAACTTGAAGAGGAGTTCTCAAACTCTGACGACATCACTGAGACGCTGAACAAGCTTCCTATCAAACCACAGGATGAGCTTTTCAAGCGAGTGTTTGGTTGTGGACAACAGTGTCCATTTTGTTATGCTCCCTGTGAGGCGGGTGGCACAGAACACAAGCAGCATCATGCAGCTATTCATYGGCCACAAGGYCTTGGCGGAGTCAAGTGTGAGTCAAGTAGGAGGCTGGTTAACTCACTGTGTACAACTGACGTACACAGTGATCGTGAATTCAGAAACTCGGACACCAAAGGGGAGTGGCGTCCTTACAAGGACTACACTGACTACTATCCAGACTGGATCATTCCTCCAGACCCCACCATAGAAGCATCTGACTACTGGAAGTATGTCCTGGTACRATACAATGACAGATTTGCTGAAGAATACAAAGTCAAACCRGCTGAAGTTCCAGAGGCCTGGAAGAGACTCACAAAGGAACAAGCTCTGAAGGGTTTGACAGATGCCTTCAACATGAAGTGATCAAAGTACAACTGAACACGTCAGGTAATTCAGGAATTAATCCAATTCAATCTGCAGTAATAGATATTTCAGCTTGGTTGAAATATTATCTTTAATTTTGCTATTTTTTGACAGACTCAGAAATGTCCAGAGATTTTCCAGACTTTGTATACAGATATTTATATCTATATAAATATTTATATATTTTGTTATTTGTTTTAATCTTGTGTATGTTTTTTGTCAAAGTGACTAAACCACCCTTGGTTCGGTGAAAATGAAGAAAGAACAAAAGGGTTAGTTTGGACCTCCATGCATTTTCTTTTCTTTACGACTCTTCTCTGATTTATTTCTAGTTTTGTGTATTGTGTCAATAGACACTCGTCCTCCAGCATAACGACTTGTATGCATGAAAATGATGTTGACGATGACAATGATAAAAGCATGATGATAATGTAAAAAAGCAACAACAAAAAAAGGTCTTTATTTTTGTTCTTTTTGTTCCAGTGTGTGAATCTTTTATTTCACTTTATGTAATTCAGGGCAGGAAAACCATGTTTGCATGGTGATGTGATGATGATAATCATCTTGAGGTCAATGCTCATGTGTTAGTTATGAATATATATTATCTGTATGTATGTAATAACGATTATGAAAACGATGATGAGGTACAATATACTGAGATAATGTCCTCAGTATATATGTAGTAATATACCGCTATTTATATTGTTACTTTTAGTTTTTAAATTGTTTATATTTGCTAGTGCTAACATTGTTATTCACATATTGTTAAGGATTCATTTGATGATTAAAATGTATTATTACATTATTCACATACTCTGTTCACAATGACAAGTACAGTGTTAAGGACAATGATGATGATGATGATGATAATGATGATGAAGCCCATAAAGCCAAAAATAAGCAACCTTTTCTGATCACATTTGTTTTCTTGAACCAGCTGAACACCCGTTTAACCCTAACACACACACATAGACACACACACACATACACTCACCGGCCACTTTATGAGGCACACACTATTCAATTGCTTGTTAACACAAATAGCTAATCAGCCAATCACATTGCAGCAGCTCAATGCATTTAGGCATCTAGACGTGGTGAAGATGACTTGCTGAAGTTCCAACCGAGCATCAGAATGGGGAAGAAAGGGGATTTAAGTAACTTTGAACGTGTCGTGGTTGTTGGTGCCAGAAGAGCTGGGCTGAGTTTTTCAAAAACTGCAGATCTACTGGGATTTTCACGCACAACCATCTCTAGGGCTTAGAGTGAATGGTCCCAAAAAGAGTAAATATCCAGTGAGCTGCAGCTGTGTGGACGAAAATGTCTTGTTGATGTCAGGGGTCAGAGGAGAATGGGCAGAGTGGTTGGAGATGATAGAAAGGCAACAGTAACTCAAATGACCAATTGTTACAACCAAGGTCTGCAGAACACCATCTCTGAGCGCACAACACATGGACCCTTGGAGCAGATGGGCTACAGCAGCAGAGGACCACACCGGGTGCCACTCCTGTCAGCTAAGAACAACTGAGGCTACAGTTCACAGTCTCACCAGAACTAGACAATAAAAGATTGGAAAAACGTTGCCTGGTCTGATGAGGTGTAAACAATAATGAAAGCATGGATCCATCCATCCTCGTATCAACGGTTCAGGCTGATGGTGGTGGTGTAATGTGTGGGGGATATTTTCTTGGTTACACTTTGTGCCCCTCAGTATCAACTGAGCATTGTTTAAATGCCACGGCTTACCTGAGTATTGTTGCTGACCATGTCCATTCCTTTATGACCACAGCGTACCATCTTCTGATGGCTACTTCCAGCAGGAGAATGAACCATGTCACAAAGATCCTCTCAAACTGGTTTCTTGAACATGACAATGAGATCACTGTGCTCCAACGGCCTCCACAGTCAACAGATCTCAATCCAATAGAGAACCTTTGGGATGTGGAGGAGCGGGAGATTCGCTTCATGGATGTGCAGCCAACAAATCTGCAGCAACTGTGTGATGCTATCAGGTCAACACGGACCGAAATCTTTGAGGCATGTTTCCAACACCTTGTTGAATCTATGCTATGAAGAATTAAGGCAGTCCTGAAGGCAAAAGGGTCCAACCAGGTACTAGCAAGGTGTACCTAATAAGGTGGCCAGTGAGTGTATATGCCCACATAACTTACCTGGCGTTTGCACTTTACTCACACACTGTACAGCCACTCGTTTTTAAGATGGACATTTTACCTTTACATTGACAATAGATGATGAGAAGAAAGACGGTGGAGATGATTGTGGACTTCAGGAGGGGCAGACATCCCTCTCTGCCTCCCCTGCACATTGATGATTTACAGTGCACATATGTTCATATACACACAACAATACAGAACATCTGCAACTCACCTCAGGTGTCTCATGAGCTGGCAACACATTACTGTAATACAGAGTGGTATTTACCTATACCTCCAAGAGAGGGCGCCTTTGAGCCAATGATAGCACAAGGCAAATGGAATAACAAAAAAAAGTTTCCCTTGAAAGTTTTCTTTGATTTAATTTAACATTTTGAGAGTCGCATCGAAGCAGATTTTATATTTGATTTCCTTTGTGTATTTTCTAAGTAGCCTCTCTGATGGACAAATGTAGAACGTGATGTTGATAACGTTAACCGTGACATCAGGTGACGGACAGCAGGTGGATGTGTAAAGCTGCTCTGAAACAGCCTAAGTTTGTGGATTTAACTCTTAAATCCACAAAGACTGGTGTAAAATGTTGTTGCTAAAATCACAAATGTTGTGCTGCTGCTTTGCATTTCATATGAAGTCATTATATAAACTTTCTCTCAACTCACCCAACTCTGACTGACTGACGGTGGAACAATAACTCAAAAGTTTGACTTAACGTTTCATAGTGAAACATCACAGTGAAAGTCAGAGGGTGATAAGAGACAAGACAGTTTCCACAATAAGCAAACACAGGAAGTTTCTAACCAGACCCAGGCTGGTGGGGTGGGGGGTGTATCTGCCTCAACCGGGTGGGTTGAGAGGAGAGTGACTTGTTGTATTTAAACAACTATGTGATCAATTATAGATGCAATAAACCAGTATAATAATAATCACGTCTGTCAAGGGGCTTATGTATAAGTTGCTGTTTGTCTGTCACCAAGGGACATGGGCCAGGACAGAACCTCATTAACGTCTGTAGTGGATTCGATGGAGGGGAAGGAGCCGGGATTTTTTCACTTTCTTTAACATTGTGAGATATGACTAATTTTTTCATGCTCAGTGTCCATTCTAGCCCTGTGTCAGTAATGTGTTCTCCTGTTATTAAATGATATTATATCATATATTAAAAGTGTTTGTGTGTAATGTTTTTTAAATTATTTTATTATATACTACAGGTGTGTGTTTGTAATGTTGTGTTCTCTTGTCCTGTATTAATTTCTCGTCATTATTGAGTCATCCTCAAACGCTTCTACAAACTTTGTGCTTTTTATAAACAGTTTATGGTTCAGAGTGAAGTTAGAAGATTTTGTGTTAATCCTACCTGGTTTTTCTCCACTGAAGTTTTTATAGTCAGTTTTTCATCAAATGAAATAGAATTTTCTTCATTACTGTTCACCTGAGTTTTTTAATTGACATCTATGAGTGTGTGTAATGTGGTGCAGCTTCATAGAGTTTTACAGACTGTTGGGCTTAGGTGTTGCTCTTCAGTTTCAATGTGAGGTGAAAACTTTGTATTTCCGGTTTGGGGCGAATGTCATGAGGGGAAGCAAAAAACAAAGATGAAAGAAATACAGGAAATAAAAAGATGATTTCAAGATGATTGATTCAGTAAGAAAGTTAAAAGAGGAGGAACAACAACTTCCTCTACGGACGATGACAGCACACGACTCAAAAATCCTACTGAGATTAAATTGAATTACCTCCCACAACTGAGCTGCATCACTTTCCAGGCAGTGCATCCAGAAGAGCTGCATTCCTCAGCTCCGCTCCTCCCCCTGGCTGGAGTGTGTCGGTAGGTGGAGTGTTCGGGTCACAGCCACCCTCCAGACTGAGCACACGACGCTAGGAAAGAAAAGGATCATCAATGAAACAGAGAGAATCTTGAATACACAGGTGAGTGTGTTCCAACTCCTCTTTAACTGCCCTGTTACACGTTTGGGAGTAACGGAGTTAAAACTGAAGGAAATGTTTTCACTGGTGATTTTTTGTTTCTCGGATAAACAACAGTAGATTTGTCTGTGGACATATTTCGTTTCATCAGTATTTTCATTTGTCGTCATTGATCAACAGTACCATGTTGCACATGATGTAACCTGAGCTTCTTCACGTCAATGGCAAAATACCTGAATGAGGTTAATAACATTTTGAGCAAGCAACCATTTAATTTATTAGACCCTCCGATTATATTGAAGTTGAGTCACAGTCTAAAGAAATTTAAGCTGTGACGGGAGTTCATTTCAGATGTTGGGGCTGAGAATAATTTGTTTTTAATGATTCTTAGAAATAAAAGTTTCTTGTGTCAAAAGAAAAATTTGAAAAAGGAAATTGTTTGAGATTTTTCATCTAAATTAAAAAGTTGTGATGTGGAGATAAATTACTTTTAAGGCAGGAATTTAAGGATCTTTGGCACCAGCTTCATTTTTGACTTGATTTTGATTCTGATTCTGATTTTCAAAGATTACCTTTTTTTTGTAATTAGCTTCTAGGGTTTTGAGGATGTGGGTTTTTTCTGAGTGACGTTGATACTGAACGTGGTTTTGAACAGTGGAGCTAGTAAACACACCGCAGAGGTATGTACGTTTCTGTGGGTGGAGTCAGTCCTGCAGGAATGTCGGCGTGTTCTGCGACATTCCTGCCTTCAGCAAATCTGTGTGTCTTCTCCTGCAAACACAACACACACACATTTCAAACTTCAAACCTGATCAGTGGGGACTCCTCTAACATCTGGTCCCGTCAGACATGGTCATCAGTTGTCAATCTTGTGTGTCATCTCCAGGTCACAATTCTGGCTGCTGGTGAACTTCACTCTGCACCGTAGACTTTTTATAAAAGGTTCTGCACACAAACAATAAGAAGTGACAGAATATTGTAAAAGAGGACGACTCACTAATGTCAAAGAATAATTCTGAAGTATCAACACAGGACAAGAGAACACAACCACTCACACATTATTCAGAGAATTAAAAGAAACTAAACAACAACTTTAAAAATTAGTCAAGTCAGCACTTTTTCACCCAAACCTTTTTCAAGTCATTTTACAAACTAAAAAATAAATCAAGTTTCGAAAGAATCAATGAAAAATGTGGGTGTTTTCCTTTCATCCTTTTTTCATGTATCTGCACTTATGTAGAATTATATAATAATAATTTCCACTTCTGCCCCACAGCAATCATCAGCAAATGTCTGTACTCTCTACTTCACTACATGTTCACAAAGCATTCATGACAGATTCGCATTGTTTTACATTTTCAAAAGTAACAAGAGGGGGAGTGATCCAATCAGAGCGGACAGGTAACATTAGACCCCGCCTCCTGCAGCAGCAGCAGAAACACCTGAGATGGATTCAGGCAGAGACTCGGCCATGAATCAATAAAAGTGTTTTCAGTAGCTTCGTCTTTATTGATATGATAGAGTCTGTATTATCCTTGTATTAAACAGAATATACAGTAGCCACAGTAAATGGTGTAGTTGCATTAGGGAATAGGCTGCTCTAGGCTACTCTTATTGAGTACTTTTATTATTACAAAGTATCTTCTTAAGAAGGTACTTTCTTTTACTCAAGTAGACAAGTTAATATGGTACTTTTAGTTTCACTTGAGTACATTTTAGCATTTGTATTTGTACTTTTGCTAAAGTAAAATATATGAGTTCCCCTCTCCACCACCGATCTTTACACACTGTCCACACTGTCACAGTAATAAAATATGATATACTACAGTTCCAGTGGCAACAGTCTGCTGCTGATCATTCTCTCAGGTTTTGTCAATCAAACAACTTCAGGTCAGTTTTCTGGGATTTCAAGTTTCAGCCGACTTCAGCTGATAAACACATGTACTTAGTTAATGATCAGAGTTTGGTTCACCGAAACTTGGAGTGTCAACAGTGAGAGTAAAGAATGTTTGCTGAAGTGTCAGGTGGTTTGAAAAACAGGCGACTGTCTCGTCGTCTCACACTTATCTTTTTGGTTGTGGACTGACACCATGAGAGAGTGATATTTCACACTCGTCTCCTCTCTCTGGTTTAAGTGTCAGGTTACTGCACAGTGAGAAATATTGATTTGTAATCAATCATCTAAAAGAAATACCACGGTTTCAAATGTTCTAATTTATATTACCTAACATTATAACAGTTATAGGCCTAAATACGACAAAGAGGACAATTAAATGTCTTTTTTATGAAATTAAACATGTAACCAATCGAATAAAAACGAGCTATAACTATTCTTGCATATTAGTTCAATGTGAAATCACCCTTTTTTAAGACATGAAACTGAAATCACAGAAGTATCCGCTACTCTGACTGAAAGAACCTCAGGCCGCTTCAATCCATGAGACCCAACATCTTCAAAAATCTATCTCTCAACTTTAAGGATTTCTCAAAAGCTATAACAATTATTATTTTCTCTGAATAAAACCTTTAAAGTGAACTTTATCAACAACAAGTCACACAGTGTAAGATTTAGCTGAAAGGATCTATTGTTAGACACCGAATATAAAATCTATGTGTTCACTAGTGTGTTTCATCTAAACTGTACAAATTGTTGTTTTCTTCACCCTTCATAGTTAAATACTTTATATTTAAATACTTCATATTCATATTAGTAGCGGGTCCTCTCTACAGAGGCAGCCATGTTTTTCACAGTAGCCCAGACGGGGTGACTAAACACATTTTAGCTAACAGCTAACAGAGAAGTTATTAGCTCCCTAAACTCTCTAACAGTCAAAACACTGAACAAGTCTATCAAAACACTTTTTACTAATGAGTCAGAAAACTTTCCAGACATTAGTCTAATTACCTGGTTTACTTTAGTAGCTGTTAGCTACSTTAGCACCAAACCAGCAGAGATTGTCACCGACGGCTAGCAGCAGGCTAACGGCTAACACAGTAGATTAGCTCCCTAAACTCCCTAAAACAATCAAAACACTAAAAAAAAATTTTTTACCAATGAGTCAGAAAACTTCCAGACATTAGTTTAATTACCTGGTTTACTTTAGTAGCTGTTAGCTACGTTAGCACCAAACCAGCAGAGATTGTCACCGACGGCTAGCAGCAGGCTAACGGCTAACACAGTAGATTAGCTCCCTAAACTCCCTAAAACAATCAAAACACTAAAAAAAAATTTTTTACCAATGAGTCAGAAAACTTTCCAGACATTAGTTTAATTACCTGGTTTACTTTAGTAGCTGTTAGCTACGTTAGCATCAAACCGGCAGAGATTGTCACCGACGGCTAGCAGCAGGCTAACAGCTAACACAGTAAATTAGCTCCCTAAAACAATCAAAACACTAAAAAATAACTTTTTACCAATGAGTCAGAAAACTTTCCAGACATTAGTTTAATTACCTGGTTTACTTTAGTAGCTGTTAGCTACGTTAGCACCAAACCAGCAGAGATTGTCACCGACGGCTAGCAGCAGGCTAACGGCTAACACAGTAGATTAGCTCCCTAAACTCCCTAAAACAATCAAAACACTAAAAAATAACTTTTTACCAATGAGTCAGAAAACTTTCCAGACATTCGTCTAATTACCTGGTTTACTACGTACAGAGTAGTGACGTGTTCATGTATCGCCCCCTGCAGGTGGAGCCCGGTGCTGCTGAGTGATGGAGCTGAAGGTGTGGGTGGAGGGCGTGGTCAGGGTGGTTTGCGGTTTATCACTCAGCACTTCCTGTCAGGAGGTTGTGATCACTCTCGCTCAAGCCATCGGTGAGTCTCAGTTTTCGTGATGCACACTGTCAGTTGTTGTCAGTGTTTCTCTGAATGTGGAGACGTGAAGAACTTGATTCCTGCTCCACAGAGGAGGCACCCCTCTTTATATACAGTCTATGGGAGGAACACAGAACTTCCTGGATGCTATGAACCTGACTCTTTAGTGTAAAACTTATTGGCTTCACTTTCCTGACCCGGAGTCCATTTTTTGTCTGTGAACACTACTGCAGCTTTTTGTGGAGAATTATGTGACGATATATGATTTTGTCAATACATTCATATCTTATTTATTATTTTACTTCTTTGAATTTGAAATTAAATGAATATATTTTGTGCTTCTGAATATGAATCGTTAACGAATGTTTTTTTTTCTGTCAGGTCAGACGGGTCGTTTCATCCTCGTCTTAAAGTTACGTGAGAATGAGACACAGCTGGTTGCTGACGACTGTCCTCTGCAGCGTCTGGCCCATCTGGGGCAGCTGGCTGCAGAGGTCCAGTTCATTCTGCGGAGGACCGGCCCCTGTCTCAGCGGTGGTCAAGACACGCCAACCACAGAGAGACGCCTCCCCCTGCCGAGAACCTCAGAACCAGAGCCCCTGAGACGCAGGGAGCCAAAAAAGTCTCTCACTTTTAATCTGGGTCCGTCAACGTTTTCCAAGGAGACCAAACCAAACAGGACCATTTACAGAGCCTCCCCTGAACCACGGGCCTCCCCCGTCTCTCCCTCAGACGATCCCAGCGTGAACAAAGAGGATGTGTTTAGGCAGATTCTGCAGCAACAGAGAAGATTACAAGACCTGCAGGTTCAGCTTCAAGCTCTGGAGAGGGAGACTCAGGTGTGGGAGCAGGAGAGGCCGTCCACGGTTCCATGTCTGAGTCCGGACGCTGCACAGGAACTGGAGGAGCTGCAGTGGCGGCTGAGGCAGAATGAAGTAGAGCTGATGGACAGAGGACACTTGGATGAAGAGCTACAGACAGAGACAGACAGAGAACAAGGTACATGTCCAAATCTGTCCACACTGTCCATGTCCGTGTCTGTTTTTTACTTATTGCTTTATTGTTTTGTACCAAATGTCTTGATGAAATTGAATATGTGGACGAAAAAAATCCAGAATGACCAAATGAATCAACAAATCGGTGACATTTCTAAAACAAGAAATTTGAACACTGTGATCAACAGACATGCACAGACGTCTCCACCAGATACACTCCTCAGTGGATGATCACAGTCACAAGTTCAAGGAGCTCCAGGTTCGTTCTGCACATCTGGAACACGACCTTCAGCTCGCCGCCTACAGACAAAGCTCGCAGGAAGTCGCTCGGCAGCAGGAGGAGGCGCTGAGGCCCCTGAAGGAGGAGCTCCACAACCGCCTGCAGCAAGCAGAGGAACTGGACGCAATGTGGTCAGGGACACAGAGGCAGCTCCACGCTGCAGAGAGACAGCTACAGGTAAAACACCTCCATCTTCTGAGGTTCACTTATTTCAGAGGTCATCAGCTGAGCGCTCGGTCCTTCTTTGACCTGTGATCGGAACCTGTGACCTGTTTTTAATGTTTTTGGTGCTAAGAAGACTCCACACACAGTCAGTACACGTTGGTAAAATGATTCTGCATCCTGTAGGACAGACGGCAGCTGGTTGAGGAGCTGAATAAGGAGCTGAGACAGTGTAACCTGCAGCAGTTCATCCAGCAGACCGGTGCTCCACAAGCTGAGCAGACGAACTCCCTGCCGGTCACCGAAGTTTACCTCAGCAGCGCCGGAGTTATGGAGTAACGGAACGCTGCCACTGTACGTCAGCAGGATGTTTACTATGCATCAGTGTTAGGACGTTGTTATAACTATAATCATTATTACTCTTATTATTATTTTAGTGTCGCTGCAGCATAAAGAGAAAACGTACTGGCAGTGAAACTCAGTTTGAAGCTCAGGTGAAAAACTTTTGATCTTCTCAACAACAATAAAACACATGATAGAAACTAAATTCAGAGTCCAAATAAAGAGACGACTCACCAGAGGTGAAGAGTCTGGCTCGCCACCTGGTGGCTGGCTGCAGTATAGGTCATAGATGTTTACATCTTTATTTTCAGTCGATGGTTTAATTTAACATAAAGCTCCAAAATATCCAGTTATGATGAAAACAAGAGAAAACAAATCATGACAATGTTCTTTTCTCTTTTTCTACTGCAGGACATGAAGGAAGAAAACATGGTCCAGACCCTACAGTGTGTGTGTGAGTGTGTGTGTGTGAGTGTGAGTGTGAGTGTGTGTGTGTGTGTGTGTGAGTGTGTGTGTGTGAGTGTGTGTGTGTGAGTGTGTGTGTGTGAGTGTGTGTGAGTGAGCCACTGATAAAGACCAAATGTATTTTTACTTGTTTTATTGTTGACTCTTCATGCGGACACTACTCGGTCACTGTTATGACCATGAGGACCCAGAAGTACAACTCAGAGACGAAGTATTCTAAACCAGTGGTAGGTTTATTCCAGCCAGGGTTCAGTCCACAAAAAGACAAGAGACGAGGCAAAGGTGTCCAAAGACGTGAGGCTCAGGCTAAGTCGCTAAATCCAAGAACTTGGTCAAAAAGACACGAGACAAGACTTGGGAACGGCTGGTGATCTACAGACGAGACGAACTGGACAGTGGGAGGCCATAAATACTACCTGAAGCTAACGAGACACAGCTGAAACTAATTAGACAGGGGAAGGTGATGAGTGAGACGGTGATGGGAGCTGCCTTTACAATTATTATTGGGAATCTCTCCATTTTCCATCCACTGTGTGGCAGGAGGCCTGGGTTCGATGTCCGGCTGATGCATCAGACTGTCTTTTACAAGAAGTTCTCTGTTGTTCATCACGATCCATGAAATGTTCTCAGAGGTTCTCACAAGCTTAAGGACAGGAAACTACTGCACAGACTGCACAGTGTTCGATTCCGAGATGTTCAGGCTTCATTTCTGGATAGTGGGACGAGGTGGAGACGTCTTTATTTAGTTTATGATGAGTCGTACACACATATGACACGAGCCCCACAGCATGAACTCACTCTGCTCTTATGTCACTGCAACAGAACCAGTTACAGTCATGTTGATTATGACACACACACACACACACACACACTGTTGTCAGTGATGTTTCTGTTCCACTGACCTGACGAGTATAAACTGAAAGAACACATTGTTCTAATAAGATAATCTGAAGGTGATATTTTTGTATGGTTTGTTGTCTCACCTGGAGTGTGTGTGTGTGAGTGTGTGTGTGTGTGTGTGTGTGTGT